GGTGGGTGGTATTGTTAGAGCGATTAACAGCAATGTGCTTTTTACTATAATAATCACACCTTACCCACTGTATCCCAAAAGCAACTTGAGACAAATTAGAGAGGATCAGAGAATCAATAGGATGAGTTCTGAGCCACGTTTTTAGGGTGAAATAATGTAAAACAGCTACTCTGAGAAAGCACAATAGTGACAGTCAGTTTTCCTCTGTGACGGTCTTTCTGTTACAGCATGGCTGTGACATGGCAAACAAAAGGTGGCCTGGGAATCTCAGCTCCGCTGATTACATGCCGTGAGGCCCTGGAGAATCACTCAACTCACTGGAACAAGGGGTCTTTGTCTAAAAGGTGGAGAGAGGGCTGGGTATTTAGCTCAGTGGTGCCGCTGCCTGCCTTACAAGTGCAAGGACCCGAGTTCAATTCCTGGTACCAAAAAAATACAAGCGGAGAGAATGGTGAGCCCTCACAGGGTAGCCCATTGGGCACTCAGAAGAGGACCTGAGCCCAGGAATACCAAGTCTGTGCCTTCTTTGGTCACAGACACAGGTACAGAGGTATGGGTCCTGGCTCTGAATGCAACATTTATTTCTCACTGTGGGCTGCAGTGAAACACACACACACGCACACACACAGGCACACCCCTGCTTCTCTCTTCTTTTTTAAGTCTTTATTAAATTTATTGGTACATTTTAGGTATACAGTAAGTTGCTTTCATCATTGGGATCTTATACCTGTACATGACATATGCTGGTTCTTATTTTTCCCCATTCCCCAGCCCTCCTTTCACCCGCTCCACCTTTTCCTTTTTACAGACGTTGTTTCCATGGTTTTTTTCACATATTTTTTTCTTTTACCTTTTTACCTTTCCCCTACCTCTCCCACTTCCTCTACTCTTCCAGACCTTTTCTTCCTATTACACAGTATCAATTATACATTTTGATCCTTATTTACACTTTTAGTGTTGATTTACACAGCAGGGGAGAAGTGAAGGACTGGTGGGAATCCCAGATAGTCCATGGTGTTTGCCATTAGTGGATAGAGAAAAAAGGAGGCTTCAAGGAAGGGCTGAAAGTATGTTTGGATGGGTACAGTGCAAAAAGCTGAGCAATCTACCAGGCTCTAGGGCCTTGCATGGTAGCAATAAAAAGATGAAAGTCTGGTCTATGTTCCTCAGGTCTCAGTCTAGTGAGAAATACAGGCACATACACAGTGCTAAGGGATGAACAACTTTGACAAGTTCAGTTTTTGAAGAGTTTATTTGAAAAAACGACTCACGGATCGCTCAATAAACCGCACTTCCTAGTGTGGTTGGTGGCCGTAACCCCATCCAACAACCAAAAGCCCAGCGGTCATCAAGCCTTCTTTCCACCCGCCCCATGACTCCATCACTCACTCAGCCCTGCTGATGCGTCCCAAACCCATCCACTCCCGCACCGTCACCTCTCACCCAGGCTGGGACAATACCCGCCCGCAGCCTGTTCCAGTTACACACCACACACACCTCCAGCGGCCCTCTGCACCTCTAAGCCTGTGCAAGACTCGAGGCCCAGCCTCTCCTCAGCACTCCTTGTCAGGCTGCACCTTTCCATCCCTATCTATGTCCCAGAAATACAGAAAGAAAGAAAATGAAAACCACAGACATCCTGAGCTTGTTGACTGCTTCACTGGGGTAGGACGTGAGGAGCAGCAGTTAAGGGGACACCCTTGGTTCTGAGTACAGAAGAGCAGGGTTTAGGAGACGATGACCAGGAGTGGAGAACAAGTATGGAGGGGGAGAGGAACACTCAGCTGGGGCGGACACCCCACGGACAGAAGGGCAGAAATTGTAGTGACCGTTTCCTGGCAGGAAAGCGATCTTTACGAGCAAACAGCAGGTGGTAAGATAAAATTATGCCCCCATAAGGAGCCTACAATCCCAGGGGTCTTGCCTGGAGCTTACTTCTCTGAAAAGAAGGCAGTTTCCTGCACATGCTGGAGACCTGAGCCACACTTCAAGGCACAGCATACACCTGCAGCCTGCAGAGGTGGACTCAGCAGGAGCTCCCTGAAGATCTGGAGGATACATTGGAGGGAGACGGAAGAAACTCCTGCCAGGAAACCTAAGAGACTGTTTAAGAATGTCTCCTGGAAAAAAAACTGGGGCCAGAGGTTTAGCTTGGTGGTTCTGCCACCTGCTCCGCAAGTACAAGGTCCTGAGTTTGATGCCCAGTACCAAAAAAAATAGTCTCCCGGGGCCAAAGGTGCGTCTGGAAGAACACACACAGCACACATGAAGCCTCAGGGCTAATCAAGTACAAAGGTAAAGTCAGATACAAAGGTATCATCAGGTACAAAGTGACACTCCTACTGCCAGGGTGCAGCTCAGCGGCGGATGCTTACCCAGCATGCAAGAAGCCCTGGGCCGTGCCCAGCACTCACAGGGCATGGGAACTTATGGGCACCTAAAATTCCAGCAAGTGAAAAGCAAGTGCAAGAGAACAGCAGAGCGCCCTCCATCTCCTACAGCACAGCTTCTTCATTCCAGAGCTGGCCCAGGAACCGGCTCGCCGAGCTTCTGAGCATTCGGAGCTTTTAGGAAACAGCTTCCTTTTTGGCTTTGAAAAAGGGGAAATGGCATTGGCAAGTGATGCCTCAAGTTCTGACACTGATTCAGTGGCCTCTGACATTCTGCTTCCACAGCGTCTGCGTACCATGGGGTGGTGGGGAAGACACCCGAGATTGGCGGCCAGGAACAGAGCACTGTTCAGACACAGAGGGGCCCCACATGGCTCCCTCGTTCACAGATGCCAAAACTGACACTGCTTCCCCTCCACAGTTGCTCCTTTGTGTGGAAACAGGACTCGAGAGACATCAAGAAGCTGAGGCCAACTATAGTGGTGCATGCCTGTAATCTCAGCACTCAGGAGGCTGAGGCAGGAGGATCGCTGCAAATTCAAGATCAGTCTCAGCTACACAGCTGTCTCAAAAAAAAAAAAAGGAAGCAGAGAAGGCTGCTTTAATGATTTCATTGTATGTAAATGTAAATGATTGCATTTACCCCTTATTCCTTTTGGTGATGATATCAGCTTGCCTACAGATGGGAATCTCCAACCTTACAAGTCTCAGGTCCCTGAGATTATACAGAAGGAGTTCACCCAGTAGGAGCAACAGAAAGCCTGTGATTCACAAATAAATCCCTGCAGGTGCAAGAAGGGAACTGCCCCAGCTGGAAGGTGCATGATAGTCAGGTCACAAAGTTCTCCCTGTACTTTTATGGAAACACATAGATCTCTGTAACAGAGATTGGCAAACATTTTCTGCAAAGAGCCAGAAAATAAGTATTTCACCCTTTGCAGACCAAATGGTATGTGCTGTAACTACTTAGCTCTGCTGTCATCACTGTCATCCGCTAAAGCAAAATATGCTAACAAATGGAAATGGGTGTGTCCCAATAAAACTTTACTTACAAACAAAAACAGGTAACGGGCCAGATTTGGTCCACAGCCTATGGTTTGCAATTTCTGCTCTAAAAGAACAGACAAGACCAATAGCTATAAATATTTTAAAAGGAACTTTGGATCCCTTTCTCTCTGACAAAGAAAGAAATGCTTCAGACCAATACAGTTACCAATAAAAAATAAAAATTTTCACAAAGGACTTCTAGATAATGCAACTGTCCTTCCTCACTACTGATAAGGTGATCTTTTTTCCCCCCCTTGGACAAGGCACCTTAACCTCAATGTACACTGCTCAGAAATAAAAACGTCATTATTTATTAATTATTAACCCACCTAAAGAGGGAAAAGACCAGGTGGTCAGGTGTCTCAGGCCCAGTGAAGAGATTTCTCCAGTGGCCCCTGCCAACAAAACAAAGCACCTCCTGTCCACAGAACCTGCCCAAGTCCTTGCACTGCACCACAGGACGTGACATTACAAGGGCACGACACGTCTACAGAAGAGGCAGAAACCACGCCTCCCCCAACCACAGGGGCCACTGTAAAGAGGAAGGGGTCTGAGGACTGACGAGCTGCTTGCAGTGTTCCTGTTCCAGGGTCAGGGTCTGCAGGACCACTTCCTCCACCGTGTGGGACCCCCTCACGCTCTCAGGTTACGCATGGGGTCACAGACATCAAGGCATCTCATAAAAGCAAGTTACCCTAAAAGAAGAATGCAAAGCAAACACTGAACACCAAGACCATGCCGAGGCCACTGGCTTCTCGCGTAAGGAACAAGGAGGCTGGGAATGTTGGTGACCAATGACACCCTTATCGGGTGAGCTGCTAGGGACAAAGTAGTCTTGCGTGTCGGCCTATGTCCGTACACACTAATTACCTTAGTCTGTACCGGCAGGGAATCTGGAGACAGGCACACACTATCACTGCCACATGATCGACCTCATAGGAAGAATAAGAAAAGTCTGCACAAACCTCCAAAGAAGAAAATAGTCAGAAAAAACACCATAGGGCAAAGGTTTAGCAATAAACATTGGGTCTGGGAGTCAAAGAGCACACTTTTGCCCTGGCCTTGCCACTGCACTGAACCACATTTTACTTCCTCATGAGTGTGGGTGATGAGAGCTGCTCTCACACCCCACCAGGGAGGTCAGGGGTCCAGCAGAGGGAACCACACAAGGACTCACAGCCTCATATCGGCCTTCAGACTTGCAAATCTCCAAACTTTACCCAGCATGCCATTCGGTGGACAAGAGACCAGTTACTGTCAAAATTACGAATATGCGGGTTCTTCAGCTCAATACCTCTACTGGTAGAATTTTTCTCCTAGTATCTCCACACGTACAGAAGGAAACACATGGATTCTTCCCAGAATTTCACTTGTAACAACAATACTTAGGAACAACCTAATCTTGCTAGGGCCCTAGTGAGCTAAAAACATGGGACATTTGGTGACTGCTGGGACATATATGCAGTGGGGATGGGGTGGAAGCAGAATAGCAACGCACACCTTTTGGTATGTTTTTAAATTTTTGAACCAGGTAGATTATCTTTAAAAAATGAAACTGAAGCAGTTGGGGAGGTAAGAACTTACCTTTAACTTCCAGAAGGTGGTATCCATCCCAGCCCCAAGGTTGAGAATCTGACAGTGACATTCTGTCTTCCGGAGGAAAGCTTTTGTGAGCTGGCTGACACCCTGGACTCGGGCGAAATATCCTTAGAGGGGCCAGAGAAACAAACCATCACTTGAAGATCCTTACAAAGCCTCCCCACAAGGTGTGCACGGCTCTGCTACATGTGTTAGAAAGTCTGTCTAGAGACCAGGAGAGAATGCAAAGTAAAGAGCGTCTTCTTATCTCAAGACCCACTGCTTTTACAATTTTCTTTCAGAACACAGACACAGGGCCCTACTTTAGGGGCGGAGATTCCCTGTAGATTCCCTGTAGACCGGGGCCCTCTAGTCCATCTCTCAATGGGGCTGAGCATAAGCATGCTCCTGCCTCAAATCCTTGGACTCCCAACATGAAAATTACTCAGTGTTGCTGACATACTGTAGCAAGGAAACAGAACATAAACCCAAACATGGGCAGATCACAATAAATGACACGAGTGAGGCTTTGTTTTCTGGTTCCCATTTTTCTGGGGTTTTTTGTGGGGGCACTGGTTTTTTGAGACAGGGTCTCACTATGTAGTTCAAGCTGGTCTTGAATTCGCTATTTAGCCCAGGCTGGCCTCGAACTCTTGGTGATTTTCCTGCCTCAGCCTCCTGAGTGCTGGGATTACAGGCGTGCACCACCACACCTGGCCATAAGTGAGTTTACATAAGTGACTTACAAATAAGAGGATTACACAATGAATTTCAGTAACATCATTTTTCATGTATCATAGTAATATAGATTTAAAAGTTTCACAGTCCACCATGCTGGTAATTAGGAAGTGAGACTTTTCATATTTTGTTCTGGGAGTTCACACTGAACTCCCCTGTAAGAGCCCCTTCCACTTGGGCCTCTCAGTGGCCGGAGGAGTTGGGAGGAGAGGTGCTTGCCTCGGTTGATTTCGGGGGCCTTCCTCTCTTTAGACAGTCTCACGAGGTGCTCGATGTAGGGGTCGTGCCAGTACCCAACGCTGACTGCATACCTGAAAGAGATGAAAAGCAGCCGAGAAGTACAGATGAGCAGATTCAGGCACAGGCCCCACTGCCGAGGTCACAGGGACCAGGCCGGGGATCCAGAGGAAAACACATTCCTCAAAGGCTAATACACACACAGGGAGTTTCTGTTATACTTTGGGGGCCACGGTTGAACCCAGTGCCCTCACACCAAGCTGCATGTTCAGCCCTTCTTGAGACAAGGTCTCTCTAAATTGCCCAAGCTGGACTCAGGCTTGCGACCCCCCTCCCTCAGCCTCCCGGAGTGCTGGGGTCCCACATAAGCACACACGCACCACACTCTGCTGCACCTTTAAACACACACATCCACCAGCCCATCCATCTTCATGCTGAGCACACTGCCCGCGCTTCTCCTCTCTTCACAGCGCCAGTCAACCTTGCCACACACTTCTAGAGCAGACCTGTAACCATCTGTTCACTCAGCAAACTCACTGGCCACACCTGGTCAGGAAACATTCTGTGCCCAGACAGTGACCCAAAAACCCTGACAAACGTCACTGACTGACATTAAGTATTTCTCCCAAAGCCAGTCATTACGCTTCCTTAGAGATCACAGCAGGAAACAGGAAAAAATAAGCAAAACAGGGCAGCCTCCACGCTTTCACCCGGATCTACACTGCAGGGACAAAGCTGCAGAGTTCTGTGCCTGGGATCAGACACCATGGCCACCGAATGCCTTAGGGCAACCACGAAAAGACTGAGGCTTAATACAACTCAGAAGTCACGACAAGAACCTGGATCCCCAAGGCCAGCTAAGCTGCTGGGGGCCTGCAGCCTGCTCTACCCCTAAACATGCAGTTTATGAGACACAAGTGTCTTTATACTCAAAGCCTACATCGTCCTGCTGCCTGGGTCACACCTCCATTTCCATGTCCTGGACAGCAAGGCTGAAATTTAAGGGGCAGGGTGTGTTACAGCTCCCAGCTGGATTCCAAGCTCCCAAAAGTAAATACCACACATTTTTTATCTTGAGAGAGGGTTTCGCTAAGTCACTAAATTGCTTGGGGAGAGCTAGAACTTGTAATCCTCCTAACTCAGCCTCCCAAAGTGCTGGGATTATAGGCGTAAGCCATCTTTTCTTGCTGCAGTCAGCACTGAACTGTGTACAGACTTTTCTCTGGCAGTCTCTCATTTACACGGTACCTCCAAAGACACTCCTGAGGGAGCACATGGGTTCAGCTATTCAACCAGGCAACTTGACAGAGAAAAGTTTAAAATGCACGAGAAACAGGATTTGCACATGAGACCATATTGCTAGAAGGACAGCAGCACGCTCAGAGTCTTATAACAGTGCACAAGCTCAGTTATCTAAGTGTTCTTCAAACAGTGGTCTACAATATTCTAAAATCAAAAAGTGTGTAAACCTGTGTTTTTTAAAATACAAAAGAGAATGTCTGCCAAACACAAGGGCCCGAGTTCAATCCCAGTACCAAAAATACAAAAAAATAAATAAATAAGTAAAATACAAAAGAGAACAGAGTAAACCAGAAACTATCAGCATGCATCACACATGGTGAACGTGAGGGCTGTTTCATGCCAGTTTTGTTCCAAGTGTGTGCTGAGGATCTGGGAACGATGAAAACCGAGTCTTCTTCCAGGGGGTTGGTGGCCAAATGAACCCTGATTCAGAGTCTTCCAGCGCCATCTAATGGTAAGTGGCGTCTCTTACAGCTGAGGCAAGAACAGCTCTTTCCCACAGTAAGGCAGTGGGAGGGGCCGGTTCCTGGTTTGTCCAAGGCCCAAACTCAGGACACACCACTGGGAAGGGCAAGGAAGAGAGGATTGTGCGGCACCAGCGCCACAAGTTCTGAAGGGAGATGTATCACAGTTCGGGACTGGAAATTAAGCAATTCACAGTGTATTCATACAATGAAACAGTGTTCATTTGGCCGCCAACCCCCTGGAAGAAGACCTTACCCTCACCATGACCTATTCACTAAAAATATAAAGAAGACGAAAGATCTGGCAAGATGTTCAAGAGACATTGTGGAGAGAAAAAAAGAAGACCAATAACATGAGATGTGATTAAAAAATACAGTGACTGTTTATACTTTTAAAATTTATTACATTAGGGCTGGGGATTTGGCTCAGTGGTTCTGCCGCCTGCCTCACAAGCGCAAGGATCCGAGTTCGATCCCTGGTACCAAATAAATAAATAAAAATAAAATGTATTACATGAAAGACATGTTGCCATCACTGCCCCTCAAAATACTCCTCCCTTGGACATCTTATCCCATCGCTCCTGCCACTCTCCGAAGCAGTTCTGAGGTCCTCTTTATGTCTTTCACTGTGCTGTCGTGGCTGCCTTGATGTCCTGAATCCATTCCAGATGCTGACCCTTCCTGGTCACTGTGACTCTGGGGAAGCCGGAGCCGGTGACAGGGCAAGTGAGCCACCATCACGTTTGGAGCCCACCTTTCCCCTGGACGGCACCCAGTAGCAGCACTCAATGCATCTTTGATCAGGCCTGGCAAAGACATTTGTGAGAGATGACTACCAGAACTGCTTATGGAAGAAGAACAAAAATGGGGCAGGACAGGGGGCATATTTTGGGGGGATTCATGACAATGTGTCTTTTACTGTAATAATTTTTTAAAAATTTAAACATTCAGAAAAAAACTTAAACATTCAGCATATATTCTGATCACCCCTTGTCCACACATATATGCTCACAAATACATTGGTGTGTCTATGTTCTGCAGAGAATTACTAGGGGGTCAACAACAAAACATGAACAATGACTGACTGTTAATTTTATTTATTTACATTTCCTAAATTTCCCATACTGCCCACATGACTCCAACATCAACTATAAGATGCACCACCAAGAAAGAAAAAACAATGGCAATTGAAGAACTTCTGTCATCTAGAACTTGTCACATTGTGATTAAAAGCTCATCTGAGGGCTGGGGATTTAGCTCAGTGGTTCTGCTGCCTGCCTTGCAAGCAAAAGGACCCAAGTGCAATCCCCAATACCAAAAAAAAGTCATTTGGGCCCAGTCTGGGTAATTTATTAAGTGAAACCCTGTCTCAAAATTTAAAAATTTTAAAAAGGGGCATCAACATCAACAGGTGGTTTCTGAACAGCAATGAGGACCTGTGCTCCTTTTTCCACAGCCCATAAGTAACACACAGACTAAGGTACCGAGGCTGTGGTGGCAGCTGTTCCGGCGAGCCACCTGGAACGAGTACTGCACCTGCATGCACAGGTGACGACAGCTCTCACCCGACTGACAGAGGCTACAACGCACAGAACCAATGACCCTGATTCCAAAGGGATTGGAGTGCAAGAGCTTGCTCACCACATAATCAATAAAACACAGTACTGCCTTTCCTTCAAGAGAAACAGTACGGCTGAATATCACACACAAACACCAAAGTCAAGTAGTAAACTAAGTTGGATATGGGTAACATGTCAAATTACTCGTAGTCTGCCAGGCTCGGATGGCTATAATCCCAGCTACTCAGGGGGCTGAGGTAGGAGGAGCACAAGTTCAAGGTCAGCCTAAGCAACTCTGAGAGCCTGTGTCAAAACAAAGAGAGAAAAGGGCTTGGCATGTAGCTCAGTGGTACAGCTCCCCTGGGTTCAATCTCCAGCAATATAACAATTCTCACACCAGGGATTTAGCTCAGTGGTTCCACCACCTGCCTCCCAAGTGCAAGGTCCCCAGTACAAAAAAAAAAAAAAAAAATCTTAAATTAACATACGTTAATAAGGAAACACTTGAGATCCCCAAAAGAAAAACAGACAAAAGACAAATCTGAAGCTGGGCATGGTGGAGCACATCTGTAATCACAGCAAAGGCAAATCTGCAAATAATTCACAAAAGAAGAAACAACTGATCAGCAACTACACAAAAACTTCAGCCTGCATGATCCAAGAAAATACAAAATAAAAGCAGAAACCAGTATTTCTTCTATCAAATTGGCAACACTACTTTTCAACAGAACTTCACTTTGCAGAGGTAGAAGGAAGAGGGCACTGCAGCACCACCTTGGGAAACCAGCAGGCAGCTGGCTGCAGGCACTGTGGTAACAGGTGGGAGGGAGCAGCCTGCAATGCGAGCACCTAAGGACCGACACTTCTCTTCAGGAGTTCATCCTAAGCAAACAACCAAGAAGGGAAAAACATTTTTCTATAAGATCACAGAATATGATGTTAATAAAGTCAGGCAAACAAAGTGCCAACAAAATGATATGTACAAGACAGAAACTACACACACACACACACACACACACACACACACACACACACACACACACAAACTGCCAAGTGCTCATAGCATTATCAACAGCAGTTACCTCCGCACCTCCCACAATACTGAGCATTGGCTGTGCCTGTCAATTTCCACTGCACTTCTCTTCAGGGAACATCCCTTCTTTTAGTATATCTTGACTTACTTTATGTTTACAACCCAAATCCAAGCCAGGCATGGTGGTGCATCCCTACAATCCCAGAACTCCGGGAGGGTGAGGCAGGAGGATGGCAAGTTCTAATCCACCCTGGGCAATGTTAACAAGTTAGCAAGACCTGTCTCAAAAAACAAACAAAAAAACCACCGCAAAATAAAAATAAAAGGTCTCAGGATATAGCTCAGTGTGAAGGCCATGGGTTCAATCCCTGGTAAAAAAAAATAAATAAATCCATATATACTGATTCAAAGAATCAAAGCTCTCAGAACTGGAAAGACCTTAAAACATTTTCCCAAGCCTTCCCATTCCCAGATATTCATGTACTACTTGTTCAGTTTAGTAAATCCTTCAATCACTTACTCTTTGTTTTGTTTAGTACTCAGGCTGACAAGCTCTCTAGTATTTTCTTCTAATGCAACCCTGCAACAAATACCTATCTAATAAAATGTAAAATGCCAGGGTGGCATTTAGCTCAGTGGCACGGTGCTTAAAATGCCTGTGCACTACCTGAAATCATCTCACATTCTTCCCATGAGAAACACCAATCCGGTCCCAC